AATTACCTCAATTTTTAAAAGTATCCATGGAAATAAGCATCAAATATACGTCCTGAAGTGAAGTTACACAATCTGCGAAAAAACGCGGACGTACATACGCTGTTTTCGCCGAGAAGGATAGACCGCGCGATTATAACAAACGTAACGTGTTAATTTATTTATGAATACAAAATGAAGACCTCAGCATGGTTGAGACGGGACAGACGACGGGGTATGGGAGGGGGCGGAAGAGGGAGGTTGGTCAGTTCCACGGAGCACAGTGGAGGGAGTCAATGAGTGAGGCCGGACAATCGAACATGGTATTTCTCACCAAAACTGGAAATTTTGATGTCATATTTCGTCATATTGTAAATATTAAACGGTGCATTTTGACGAAAACCTTAAGGAGAAAACCAATGTGATCAATGGACCATTTTTAAACTTCCGCATTTCTTTTTAACCAAAGCAGAGCATCTATACACGGAGAGTGCGGACGTGTCGAAATATGGAGCTACTATAGGGTCCAAAAGGGCAGCAATAGCCAACCCTCTAAAACAAAAAATTTCGCTGCGAGTCTTTAGGTTCCAATATCCCAAAATGGTCAAGGACGTTCATAAATGAGCGTTCTCCCTAAAAAATGATTCAATTTATGCAAAAACGAAGTCAAATACGGATCGGAACAATTGTGATATTAAATCACCCTGTATAATTTGAATTCATAGGTTGGCTGCCCGTAGGGGCTCTATGGGTTCTAAAAGCTACATGATCTAACTTCAAAATTACCGACATGTCTATAGTCTTCTTATGTAGGTACTGTAACCTGAAGTGGAAATTGTAATATTTGTATCGTCACGTTGTAAATATACAAGGATGTCTTCACTGGAAAAAAAGCGCATTGGATCTCGAGTCCAGACTCTTGAAAACATTGACAAGAAAAAGGACTCTTGATTCAGTCAGATATAAGCTTAAATCAAAAGGAAATCCACTCTAATTAAGAGGCTTGATTCTTGATTTAAGCTTCAATCTTTTTGAATCAAGAGTATTTTTTCTTGTCGATGTTTTTACGAGTCTGGACTTTAGATCCAATGTCCTTTTTTCCCAGTGTTTGATGAAAATCTGACGAGAAAACCAATGTGACCGTTTTTAAACTTCCACGTTTCGATTTAAGGAGGATACAAGCGTTTAAAGTTTCCTCATCGTGTTCGAATTTTACCGCGGATTGGTTTGCCTGTGCGGAGCTGCGCGACGGCCGCGGTATCGATGGCGGAATATATTAGCGCGAAATTGAATTATATGAAATCGGAAGGCGCGGGACCACCGAAGCCAAGATCCACGGACCACCCGCCACCCGGCGCGGCGCGGCGCGGAGCACACCACCACCGCCATGCGCGCCGCGCCGCGGGGACGTCCTGCCGCATAGCGAAATTGCTCGCCGGCTACCTGACGTCAAACGTCGAAATTCCACCGAAAGCTCGCAAGGGAGGCTATTACATCTTCTCTCGCATTCTCTTACCGAGGAGGTTACCCACTCCATGGCTACACGTCGAAACCACGTATCTCAATGCTGCCGAGCTAAGAAAGAACTCCGTATGAACATTCGAGAGTTACCAGATTTTATCCAATAAAATGTTTATTCTTGAGGGAAGTTATGAATATTTTTTCTTGAAATTTTCAGGCAATTCAGATCAAATTACACACAAAATTATCTGAGAAATTGACAGAAAAATATTCAAAAAATTCCTATAAATTAACGACTTGTCAAAGGAAATGCAGATACGTCTGAAGGCGCATACGACGTTTTTACTTAGCACGGCAGAATGGGCCTATAGCAAACCTCAGCTAGAGCAAAAAAAGAGAATCGATTCTTGCAGAAAGTGGCTCAAAAATCACGATGAGTGCATCCAGAAAGTCTGAAATACACTCCTAACTTCACAATCTGCGGCAGAAATATGCATTTTTTTTAAACTTCTTGCTTCAAAAACAATATTACGGCTCAGCACAGGTGAATATTTTGTATGAAGAGTGTTCCATCCAACCCGTGCGAACTAGAATGCTACGGAATATTTAAGATGACTGACGTTTCTGCTTGCAAATCGTGAGGAATTACCATGGTCTTTTTCAGCGCAAGGAAAATGAAAGTATAAACCATGCCGTTTGATAAAATCCCGCCTCATCACTTGCATTTTGACGGGTTGGCGTCGGTCATGTTGAATATTGTGTAGCATGTTGGATGGAACAACTCCTCTAATGAAATATTCACCTTTGCCGCAGTACCGTTTTAGAAGCGGGAAGCTTAAAAACGCACATTTCTCACGCCGATTCTGAAGTTTAGGAGAGTGCACTTCAGACCGCCCCGACGCACTCATTGTGATTTTTGAGTCAATTTTTATAAGGAATAACTCTTCTTTTTTATACTAAAATAGGCTTAATCCAAACAAACCCGTCAGGTTCAGATGTGCCATTTTCGGATCCAGTTGCCAGTATCAATACTTATTCATGACGTTATGACTACCGAAGTCTATCTTTTGAGTCCGGAGAAAGGAGAGGAAAGGCGGGCGTATGAAGACATTATGACGTCGCCGCAGGGGTCAACTGGCGTGGCGCGATGATGTGTGTCAGAGCCCCGACAAATGATCTGTGGACGTAGGTATCACTCAAACTGCGGTCGTAATGAGCACACATCTATTATGCACTATCTTAACCTATGGAATTTTAATGAGATTCTCACTATTATAAGGTAATAAATAATGTTATATTGAAATGTGGAACTTCTCGACCACTTAAGTCAGAAAATTGGACGATAGAGTAAACAATTGCGAATTTAACTCTACCGGTATCTTCGCATATTTCATGGGTCATAGGAAGTGCTACGGAAGATCTGAAATATACAACATACGTAAAGCATCATTCTCTTGTTGCCTTTATAACCATGCAGTTCTGCGGGAAAAATTCAGACACAGACTTCACATATCGAATTTATAATTTGCAAGGAAGTCAAAATCACAAAAGAATAGTGAAAGTACATAGTACAAAGCACATAGTCAAAGCCCTATCGTTATGTACGCTGAAGATGGAGAGACTGTCTGTGAAATGCACCTGTACACTGTATTAAACAATTAAGAAACATCTCTAACCGTGGTCCGGCCTCAATCCATCAATTTATTCATAATCTTAAAAAAACTACGCATTGTGCAACTCCATACATATCAGTCAGAATTACCTCAAATTTGAAACGAAAAGAATAAAATAGAATCCGAAAGCATGTTCTAAAAAACGCCCACCTCCTGCTTTTTCTCTATATTTTGATAATATTTAATGAGGATTGTCGGGGCTTGTCGAAATTCATTGTATCATCAAGGTAACCATTTCAGTGCCAAGTACTTCTGATGTTTGAACTATGAAGTTCTTCATTGTCCACCTGCATTTGTGCATTATTCCGAATCGAAACCTTCTGAAGGTAATCGAGTCTTCACCTGTCGACCCGAGACGCAGTAGTTTCCCAATATTTCCGAATGTCCACGTGGCATACGAGTTGAATAATTAGGACATGTTTAATTAAATACCGGGGGGCCATTTTCCCCGCAGTGTTTGTTTGTGGTTTTTTATCAAGACTACCACGGAAGGTAATTAAAACGTGGCTGTCGGTTGAATACTAATGACTAATCGAATGCTCACGGCGTGCAAGTCTGCCGGCTTTTGGTGTGGCTTCGATTATTTTATGGATTCGGTCGGTCTAGGGTTTCAAGCCCAAGGAAGGAGGTGGGAGCACCAGATTAAATAATAAGGCCCCATTAGGTCCTAAATAATGAAAAATTCGTGAGGTGCCTAAGAGCGGAGCATCGGGCCGTAAGCGGACACGGAGATGGGACGAGAAGAGAAAGTTAAACACCTAATCGATGAATGGTGTTGTTTCTTAAACATCCAAATTACGATTAATTAACCCCGAGTCAACGGTCATCCAGGCTGAAAACGAGCGAGTCATCGAACGCTGCACATCGCGCATCGCTCGCCTTTGCAAGTCTTCCTAATTTACTTCCACCTCACTCGCTCGTAATTCTCTTTCTTTTCCAAGCCCACCCTCCCTTCTCTCTTCTTCCTCGAACCGTACAATACAAAGCAATTTTCCCTTCAAATTTTTTAAATTTTCTGTCTTACTTTATTTCTTTTCAAAGATACTTCCCATCCCAACCGTTTTTGTTGAATTTTTTTAAAACAAGTTCAGAGGCGAAGAAAATCACAGGGAAATTCAGCAGTAATTTTCCACGCTCTTTGAATTATTTTGTAGTTGTTATTACACACTGTGGGAGAAAGTTTTCGATTCGTCAATTTTTGTGTGGTATTTACCTCGCAAAATGAAGAAAGAGATGGGACATCTCATTCAAGTCTTAGCAAGTATAGCTCATTCTTAACGTAAACATTTTCTTTGAAGAAAAAGATTAAGTTGAAGAAAAAAGTGAATGAATAGAAATGAAGTACGTACTAAAAACCAAAGTAACCCTAGAACGCTCTAGTTGAATATCACTTCTGCTTTAGCTTAAGTCTTTAAAGAGAGTAATAAGCAGATTCCTCATCCCCTAATGTTCTCTTAAATGCGTTTTAATTCTCCTCTTTCGTGTTCTTTTCGTGTCTCCTCATTTTGTTCATTTCTTTTTCGCCCTGTCTTTAATGCAAATACGTCGATTAAATTTTCATTCGTTTGAAGTTTTGAACCTAATTACAGTCGCAGCGTTGTTAACTGCGATCAAAATAACGTAAATGCAGTGACATTTTACTTACCTTAAACTCACCGTTTTGTATTATTTTAGATGATATTTTGCAAAGCGGGGGGTATCGCACATCTCAATAATCAGACTTGTGTCTATGGAAAAAATGACTGAGAGCAAAATGTATCTTGCATTAATTTTTGACTTGCGACTTCCGTCCAAAATTTACTAAGTTCTTACAGAATTTTTTTGCCGTTGTCATGAATTTAATAAGATCCTTTTAATGTCTATTTTTTTCTTTTCTGTTCTTGTTTATAGGAATCGATGCAAAACAGAGATGCAAAAGAATGGTAAGATCTACTCATATTTTCTTTTTTGTATGATTTTTCTCGTATGATCTAGGATGACTTATAGTTTCCCCTGAGTTATAATTTTTAAACATTTGGTCGCTCTCGAAAAATTAGAACCATCTCTCTTAAATCTTTTTAATGGCGGGTTGGTTTTGTGTGCCACACACTTTTAATTGTTTACGTAGAAAAATGGGCTTTGGTAAATGTCGCTAAGTAATGTGATCAAAATACATATGTTTGTGCGGTAAACCGCTAACCGTGCTCAAAGCGAAGAAATTATTTAAATAAATTGAATTTTCAATTGGAGACTTAAACGCACTGTCAGGAAAGAAAGCGCTCATCCTTAAATTTTTCTCTCCCGCTAGAAGTGCTTTTTTGCAGAAAATATATGATTTTCTTGTATCGCCTCCTCTTCATTTAAGAAGCACACTGCCCATGACGCGCATGGAAGTCAGGACACGATTTGTTAGATGTGCGATCCGATCTCCGGGAAGTCTAAGTAGTAACTCCAAGGCTCAAAGAAACTGGCTTCGTTGGACAATGTTTTCAATTATTTAAAAAAAAAAAAAAAAAAAAAAAAAAAAAAAAAAAAAAAAAAAAAAAAAAAAAAAAAAAAAATGCCGTGCCATATATCAGCGCCTCAGTGGCTTCATTACAAGTTTCTTAATTTTGTTGCACATGCAATTTGATCTCCGGGGAGTTAAAATAGTCGCGCTACTTCAAAAGAAATTGTCAAATACTACGCACGCGGCGCCGAGAGGCCAGAAACTATCGTGCTCACTCGAAACTCCTTCATTTTAGTAGGTATGCAATTTGATCTCCGGAGAGTTAAAATAGTTGCTCGATGACAAATCAAACTATCCAAAGCCCACCGGTATACAACATAAAGCTAACCCATAAATTGATAGTCTGTTCCCGAAAGCAAGACTTGAAAGTTTGACGGCCTTCCCATTTGAAAACACCGTTTTCGGGGCCCTCTCTCCTACATACGCGACCGATCGCGACCCGCCTGGTTGCGCGGTCCAGAAGTTTTTGCACCCCTGTTTGATCCGTCATTCCCCAAACCGTTTGATCCGTCATCCCTCAAACCGTTTGATCCGTCATCCCTCAAACCGTTTGATCCGTCATCCCTCAAACCGTTTGATCCGTCATTTCCCAAACCGTTTGATCCGTCATCCCCCAAACCGTTTGATCCTGGCGGCTCGCGCCTGACTTTTGAAGGGGATGCAAATTTTCAACCCAAAAGCTCGGTCTCCGTAAACTGAAGAATAACCAACTGGACGTCTGGGTTACTTTGTTTTCTCTACTCCCCATTTCAACACAAAACGTCGGTTACTTTTTCTTACCGTATAGTCAATCTGATAGGAAGCCAGCGAAGTGGATTCGCAGGGAAAACTTGGTCACAAGACTTACGAGCCGGGCATGATGAAGCCCCGCGATAGCCGCGGGAAAACCGCGGTAAGTCCATCTGATTGGGCCCCCGATGCCTCGACCAAACAAAAGCTGGTAAGGAGAGGGTGCATGGGATTCGAGAAATTATTACCGGCCGCAGCGCGGCGCACAGTGGATGGGGCAAGGTCGGACAAAATTTGAAAACTTTAAACGCTTAAAACTCCGTTTATACAAAACTTCGAGGTTCTAAAAATGGCTCCATTGATTTTCTCGTGAAATTTTCTGCACGGTACACCCCTTCTAATTTGAAATAAGAAGAAATAAACACCAAAATTTGCGGTTTTAGTCAAAAATTTTATGTCCGACCTCTGTACTTGCCTCGATCCACACTGAAAAAAAAGTAGCTTGGATCAAGCATGATGATTCTTGAATTGGCCGCCAAGAATTGTTTTTATCTTGCTATAAGCTGACTTTTTCTTGATACAAGACAGATAAGGCTTGGGTTAAGCAAAAAAGTACCCTATATTAAGCAGAAAAATTCTTGATTTAAGAAGAAATACTTCTTGGCGGTAAATTTAAGATTCTTTTCTTCCACTGCATTGTGCGGCGTTGCGCGTTGCGGCCGCGCGTCTATTTTGATGGTTAGTCGTTTGGGCGGAGTCGCCGAGTGTTTTATCCCAGCGAAACGAGAGCTGAACCTATTTATGCTAAAAGGAACTATGCTCCACGGCAACCCTATGCTCATAGTACCTTTTAGCATAAACGAGGTAGCTCGCCCTCCGATCAGATTCCCGCGTTAAATATTTACGAGCTCGGGGCCTAAGCCTCGCGCCATGCTCCGAGGTGCATCCTCGATAGAATTTTAATTATAAGGTCCTTGTTATCGGGCCCATATCTTACCAGGGAGCAAATTGGAAACAAGCTAACTAATGAAGAATTTAACTGTTACGTACTTTTCGTCTCATATCTGCCGGCCCTCTCCGTTCTCCTCGATTCCTCAGCCACTTGTGTTTTCCTGGCCTCTTCTTATTAAAACTCACTCTTTTGTCCCAGTTCTCAAGTTGAATTTTGAAATTTTTTTTTATTTAAATGTAAAAGGGTTAATTTCATCCTATTTTTTAAAAGGAGAGTGTCTACCACCGGTGAAAATCGGAAAATATCAGGAAATTCAGTGTCATCAAGAAAAATCAGGGAAATCGGTCATTGATCAGGAAATTCTGAGTCCTGCAATCATTACTCGAACATTTGGTTCAATTAACTAAAAATGCTGATTTATTAAGTAAAAATGTGTTTATTTATTCTTGCAAAAAACCAGATTTGTTTTTTTAATACCTGGAAAAGTTATGAAAGAGTCAGGAAAATTCATAATGAAATTTTAGTAGACATCCTGAAAAGATACGGATTTTTCGTCTGGAAGTGACCCAAAAGATGAGTCTCGAACGAAGCGAATTTTTCTGACCCAATAACTGATTTTATGTCTCATCAAAAGTTTGCTCCTAGGGAAGATTATTCAAAAAAAATTTCGCAAAAAATCAGGATTTTTTTAAATAGCAGGAAAAATCAGGAAAATTCAAAATGTTATTTCAATAGACACTCGGAAAAAGTAAGGATATTTTGTTTGAAAGTGACCCAACAGGTGAGACTCGAACGACTCATGATAAAAGCGACTTTTTTCAGTCTAACGCAAACACTAATTTTGTGTTTCATCAAAAGTTTGCTCTAAGGAAAGATTATTTTGTTTTAAAAAAAGAGATTATTAAAAAAATACCATTATTTTTTAGAGCTGAAAAAGTTACACAACTTTGAAAACTCTGTAATCGAGTCAGTTTCCTCTTGATAAATGCAGTTCACGATGGGAATGCATCACCCATCAATACGAGCGGCAAGGAGGAAATCACCGAATTCCGATGGGTCGATTTTTGACGGCATCAGTCATCTTCCGAAATTTTCATGGATCCGCCCAAGCTGATGAACCTAATCGAAAATGATCGGTGGAGTTATCGTATCAGCACCGTCCAGTATCAGAAACTCGATCAAATTGGCTCTTCTCTTCCGTGTTGGCCTCAGCGTGACTCCTCCGGCCTAAAGGCGTATCCTCAATTTCTACGTGAGCCTTGGAAAGGACAGAGTTATATGGCGAACAGGGCTCATGTGGAAATCGAGGTACACCCTTACGTCAGAGGAGCGACGGTATGCCGCCACTCTCCGGTTTCACGTACTGGCACAACATCAAGTAGGGAATCTCGATTGCATCAGCCGACGTCCAGGTCAGGGGTCAAGCTCTCGCACCCTTATGTCACGATCATGAGCTCGGAAGGGTCTACTTTGTTCTTTGACGGCTCCAACAAAGTAGCGAGAGGACATCGGGGAAAGTCAAGGCAAGGGAAGCTCTCGGAGGGAAAACGCCGTATCAACTTTCTGATGTTGCCGAGTTTCTCTTGAGAATTTCAATTTTTTGGAACGCTATCCATATTTTTCCGTAAAAGCTTTAGGTCCAGAAGATCAAATAGCGAGTGAAACATTCTGTATATGAAGCAAAGATATGAAGCAAGCAAAGGAGTTTTCCGGAAAATGTATTTTTGAGAAAATAGAACGTTCTTGAATATGTAGGAAAAATCTGGAAAGGTCGATAAAAATTGATTTTGAATCTTGAATATTTCTCTGCGATTTTTTTCTCCTGACTTTCAGAATTCTTATTTTATCAGTCTCTCTGACTGAAAAACCATGCCTAAAATGTTGAATTCGTTTTAAAAAATGTATACAAAATCAGGAAATCTTATCTCTGATATTATTTTTGCATGTAACTCAGGGCCTTTGCCATGCGCTCCCAAATTGTGATTATTTTTGCACGTATCTCAGGGTCTTACCTGAGATCCCGAATCGTCTAATTCTGCATTATTTTCAAATTTCAAGGGATTTTTCGTAAAAAATTTCCCCTGTAAAATATTTTCATCCTTTACACCCACATACGCAGCAAAAGCGATTTTCAGAAAAACGATACGCAGAAAAGCGAGAAAAAGCGCTAAAAAGCGAAAAAGCGAGCAGAAAAGCGCAGAAAAAGCAGAACACCTCTAGAAGGGTCCGAACGTCGATGAATGAAGAAGAGTTCATAAATTACCCACCGCACTTTTCCAGCATTTTTTACCCCCTTCCCTCCCTACCACTTTTTAACGTTTTTGTGACATAAGTTTCTATCCTATAACACGTAAAAACAAAATGGCGTAAACCCCCCTCCCCCTCCCCCTCCCCCCGAGTGTTAGGTAATTCACGAATCACCTTTGAAGTCGGGCAATTTTGAAATCTACTTGTCTCCCTGCAAGAGATTTAGCAACATTCGAATATGGATACGGCGTTTTCCCCCAAGACGGGAGTTATGGGAGCTATGGGAGATCGGGACGAAAATCACTATATTAGATCGTATTAGCGTTAATAATAGCACGGTCGGGTCTCCTTATTATTTAACGATAATTACACAGCGGTCTCGGCGGGGATTTGAGCCTCGAAAAGAAGAACGAGGAGCGCGGGCGATTAGGCGCGCGTCGAGAGCGTTTAAGTAAATGCATCAATTACAACGCGGTTTCGTCGCCTCGTCTCCCTCGTTGGCCGCG